GAGGAGGAGGAGGAGCCCAAGCCCACAGTCACCGTAGAGGTCGAGGTCCCTGAAGAGGAAGAGCCTAAGCCCACTGTCACCGTAGAAGTGAACAAGCCAGAGCCTAAGCCTGAGGTGACTGTCAACGTCCCCTGGTGGAAGCAGCCCATTGTTTTGCCCCCTATCATTGTGCCAATCGTGCAGCAGGTGCAGGCCCCTCCTCAGATTCAGTACGTAGCCTCTCCCCAGGTTCAGTACCTCCCCGCACCACAGCAAGTTCAGTACATCCCTGCCCCACAGCAAGTCCAGTATGTCCCTGTTCAGCAGCAGGTTCAGTACGTTGCTGCTCCCCAGCAGGTTCAGTACGTTGCTGCACCACAGCAGGTTCAGTACGTTGCTGCCCCTCAGCAGGTTAAGTACGTCGCCGCTGAGTCCGCTCCCCTAGTTAAGTACATTGCCGCCCCTGCACAGCAGATCAAGTACGTCCCTGCCCCAGTTCAGAAGATCCAGATTGCCGAATCTGCTCCTACGGGCGTCAAGGTGGTGGCTTAAGCCCCCTCTAAAGTCCAGTACATCAGCACGCAGCCTGCCGCCGTCCAGTACCTGAGCAAGACTAGCCAGCAGGTGGAAATCGACGGTCGCCAGATCACTGTGGCGCTTTAATCGAGTCGTAGCCTTAAGTCTGCGCACTGTATAATAAAATTCTTGTTGTAAAACTCACCACATTCATATTTTTTAAGCAGTAAATCGCACTTGTAAGCCTTTTTAGAACAGCGTAATCTTTTTCCAACCGAACAGAGCACTAGAGTACGCGCCAGTGGAGTGGGTATTTGGGTATAGCATTCATCAAGTTAGTGATTGCTCCGATTAATTAACGAGCGATGCAATGACACACAGCACGTGCTCAGTGGAGCGCTCTCAGTATTGCCTCGATTAGTTCCTCCACTTTTTTTTTTTTTTACATGGAATATCCAAACGATGGCAATTTAGAGACTGTTTGTGTTTACCCGTGCAAATAGTCGTGCATTTCCCTTCAATTAGTAGTCGAACTCCGCAAAAAGAGAAAGATGCGGCAAGAGGAAGAGGGATAGCCAACTCACCAAACTCCCTCTTTTTTTTTTTTTTTTT